GGTTCTCGATCATCCACCTGCCGTGCATTGGCTGACTCTTACGCTTAAGACGGCTGCTGTCCAACACTGGGAAGACGTCTCGCCACTCAACATGTGTCTCTGTCGCCGTAGAGACCACGTGTCAACCCGATCCTGCGCACACAGCGTGCAGATCATCCGTCCTAGAGCCCATCGATGTTGAGCGTGATCTGCTGGCGCTGGTCGTGAGCGATGCGCTGCGTCACTCCTTGCGCCCAGCGAAAGGAATGTGCGCGCGACATCTGAGGGCTCCATGGAAGAGCACTCACAAGCGGTCTGCGCGCGATGGAGAACGACATCGCAAGTCGCCACAATGACGATGTCGTTTTGTCGGCGTGATTACCGCTAGCGTCGTGGAGAACACCCCGTGATCACCGGTTGTGTCGTGAAGCACACGGTTTTGTCGGCGTGATCACTGCTCGAGTCGATGGCCTCATTCAACATCGAACAACGTGGTCCCCGCCATGATACCAACGCGGCCTCCATGCTGTTCACTCTCAATTGTGTCGAGGGCCTCGTTCAACATCGAACAACGCGGCCTCCATGTTGTTCACTCTCGCTTGTGTCATGAAACACACCGTTTCTGCGGCTGTGAAGTGTCATGGTGATGTCGTCTCGTGGCCATGGGGAAGAGCGCGCGCACATGACAACACACCAACAATCATGTTGTAGTTCGGGCTTGCAGTTGCAACGGCGCCCCCACTTGCCCGCACGAGTCGATAGCTCCGAACACCTTGCCAGCCGCCACCGTGCGAGGGTCGCAACACGAAGTTCGGATCCCGGCAAACTTCGCTTGTTGGCGCTTGCGATGTGGCGTGTTGCGCAAGGAGTTTGTCGGCGTCATCATCATGATGACGCCGACAAACTCCTTGCGCAGCTCGCCACATCGCAAGCGCCAACAAGCGAAGTTCGCCGGCATCCGAACTTCGTGTTGCGACCCTCGCACGGTGGCGGCTGGCAGGGTGTTCGGAGCTATCGACTCGCGCTGTTAAAACCACATATCCAACGTTGTGAGCTTCTATTGTCGGCACACGTAATGATACAAAGCGCGTCTGTTGCTTTATTTCCTCTCCGCACAAACGTAAGAGCATATCCAACACTTTTGGTTGTTCGAACTACGGTCTAAACATTTCTACAAGCCATTTCTTCTGAAAGAATTCCTAGCATAACCTTCTGAGGCAGTCGCAAGGCCGTGGTGATGTCAACTTCTACAATCCAAGTTCGGATCTCGACGGACTTCGGGGATCCGCGCAAATCCAACCGCCCCGTTCAAGACCCCGGACTGTCCGACGTGGTCTGCTAGTCAGAAACCTTGGGTTGCGCAAAATGCACGCTTCGAGAAATGACTTATAGGGGTTTATGGGGGGGTGCGCCCAAGCATCACCTGCTTCTGTGCAAACGCCAAGCACCCGTTCCTATAGATGCGACCGTGGGAAAACCTGTTACTCGCTACACTCGCATCCGCCAAGTTCGGATCCCGGCGGACTTTGAGGATCCACGGGAAACTGACCGTCCTTCGCATGAGTTGTGGACTTTTGCATGCGAGTTGCTACCGGGAGGAGTATTGGTTCGCAAAATTCCTCGCCGTACGGAATGCCCATTCAGGGGTTTACGGGGGTTTCCGTCGGTGCCATCATGCGTGTCCGTTATCGGGGTGTCGTCGATCCCGACGAGTTTTGGCAGTCGGAGGCCCTGGGGTGCGCAGAATGCTCGCTTCAAAAAATGGCTTGTAGGGGTTTACGGGGGGTGCGCCCAATCATCATCTGCTTCTATGCAAACGCCGACCAACCGTTCCAACCGCTGCAGCCGTGCGAAAACCTGTGACTCGCTGCACTCGCATCCGCCAAGTTCGGATCCCTGTGGACTTTGAGGATCCACTGGAATCCAACCGTCCTACGCATGACGCGTGGACCATTGCGTGCGACTTGATTGCGAGAGGAGTGTTTGTGCGCAAAATTTCTCGCCGTCTGGAATGCCTTTGTAGGGGTTTGCGGGGGTTTCTGTCGGTGCCATCATGTGTGTCCGTTGTCGGTCTGCCGTCGATCCCGACGTGCTCTGGTAGTCGGAGGCCCTGGGGTGCGCTAATTGCTCGCTTCAAGAAATGGCTTGTAGGGGTTTATGGGGGGTGCGGCTAAGCAACGTCTGTTTCTGTGCAAACGCCGACCAACCGTTCCAACCGCTGCAGCCGTGCGAAAACCTGTGACTCGCTGCACTCGCATCCGCCAAGTTCGGATCCCGACGGACTTTGAGGATCCGCCGGAATCCTACAGTCCTACGCATGACGCATGGACCATTGCGTGCGACTTGATTGCGAGAGGAGTGTTCGTGCGCAAAATTCCTCGCCGTCTGGAATGCCCTTGTAGGGGTTTAAGGGGGTTATCGTTGGTGGCACCAAACGTGTCCATTGACGGTCTGTCGTCATCACGACGTGCTCTGGTAGTCAGAGGCCCTGGGGTGCGTTAAATGCTCGCTTCAAGAAATGGCTTGTAGGGGTTTATGGGGGGTGCGGCCAAGCATCGTCTGTTTCTGTGCAAATGCCGATTAACCGTTCCAACCGCTGCAGCCGCGCGAAAACCTGTGACTCGCTGCACTCGCATCCGCCAAGTTCAGATCCCGACGGACTTTGACGATCCGCTGGAATCCAACCGTCCTACGCATGACGAGTGGACCACTGCGTGCGACTTGATTGCGAGAGGAGTGTTGGTGCGCAAAATTCCTCGCCGTCTGGAATGCCCTTGTAGGGGTTTAAGGGGGTTGTCGTTGGTGGCAGCAGACGTGTCCATTGACGGTCTGTCGTCATCACGACGTGCTCTGGTAGTCGGAGGCCCTGGGGTGCCCTAAATGCTCGCTTCAAGAAATGACTTGTAAGGGTTTATGGGGGGTGCGGCCAAGCATCGTCTGTTTCTGTGCAAACGCCGACCAACCGTTCCAACTGCTGCAGCCTCGCGAAAACCTGTGACTCGCTGCGCTCGCGACCAACTGTTTCTGTTTCTGTGCGGACTTTGAGGATCCGCTGGAATCCAACCGTCCTACGCATGACGTGTGGATCATTGCATGTGATTGCGAGAGGAGTATTGGTGCGCAAAATTCCTTGCCGTCTGGAATGCTTCGCATGAGGCATAGACCTTTGCGTGCCCGTTGCTTCCGGGAGGAGTTCTGCTGCGCAAAATTCCTCGCCGTCTGGAATGGCCGTGTAGGGGTTTACGGGGGTTGACGTCGGTTACTGCAAACGTGTCCGTTGTTGGTCTGCCGTCGATCCCGCCGTGTTCTGGTAGTCGCAGGCCCTTCGTTCCGCAAAGTGCTCGCTTCAAGAATTGGCGTTTAGGGATTTATGGGGGGTGCGGCCAAGCATCACCAACTTCTGTGCACACACCAACCACCCGTTCCAATAGCTGCAGTCGCGCGAAAACCTGTTACTCGCTGCAGTCGCATCCGCCAAGTTCGAATCCCGGCGGACTTTGAGAATCCGCATGCATCTAACCGTCCTTCGCATGAGGCGTGGACCTTTTCGTGCGAGTTGGTCCAGGGAGGAGTATTGGTGCACAAAATTCATCGCCGCCTAGAATGCCCGCGTAGGGGTTTATGGGGGTGGTCGTCGGTGACAGCAGACGTGGCCTTCATCGGTCTGCCATCGATCTATGTTGCCCCCTACGGGTTTGGACCGTCGCGGAGCGGGGAGTCTTGTCGCCGACGTGCTCGTGTTCCGGAGCGCTTTCCGGCTCGCGCTGTCGCACGTCGACGTTCCCGGCGCGCGAATCGGGGTTCGCCTTGTCGACTGGCGGAGTCGGGGTTTGAAAGGTTTGAATCGGGGTTCGCATGCATCCATTTCTGCATTTCGACATGTTATTTACGGGAATCTGACCGCGGGAATCTAACCGTCCTTCGCATGAGGCGTGGACCTTTCCGTGCGAGTTTCTTCCAGGAGGAGTATTGGTGCGCAAAATTCTTCGCCGTCATGAATGCCCGTGTAGGGGTTTGTGGGGTTTGTCGTCGATGACAGCAGACGTGTCCGTTGTCGGTCTGCCGTCGATCCCGACGTGTTCTCGAAGTCAGAGGCCCAGGGGTGCGCAAAATGCTCGATTCAAGAAATGGCTTATGGGGGTTTGTGGGGGATGCCCCCAAGCATGGCCTGCTTCTGTGCAAACGCCAACCACCCGTTCCAATAGCTGCAGCCGTGCGAAAACCTGTTACGCGCTGCACTCGCATTCCGCCGAGTTCGGATCCCGGCGGACTTTGAGGATCCGTGGGAATCTAACCGTCCTTCGCATGATGCCTGGACCTTTGCGTGCGAGTTGATTGCGCGAGGAGTATTGGTGCGTAACATTACTCGCCGTCTGTGTCTGTAGGGGTCAATTTGGGGTCGCGTTGCGCCGAATTGTCTGGTGGTACATCCACCACTACCCTTTGTTCTGCGAGTGTTGTCGCACGACGACCAATTGAAAGCGCGATGGCCTTCCTTCTGTGCGCCCGAAAATAGCGTTCTTTGCGTGCCCCCGCTGACGCTCCCTTCAAATGACACCGGCCGCGCGAAAACTGGTTCCTTGGTGCTACAAGGCCCGCTTGAACGACGGCTCCTGCGAGCTTCGGGACTCTGCGTTATTCTGACCGTCATTTTCAACGACTTAGACTTCCCCGTGCGTTTTCGTGCGTGGTGGCCTAGTCGTGCGCAAAATTTTTCGTCTTGAGGATTGCCCTTAAAGGGGTTTATTGGGGTTGACGACGGTTTCTGTGGTCGGGTCGAAATGCGGTCTGACGTTGATCTTCGTTGCCCTCCGATGAAAGGAATTGTCGCGACAGGTGAGGTTCAGTCGCCGACATGCTTTTGCCTCGGCGTGCTTTGCGGTTCGCGCGGTCAGGTGTCAACATTGCCATCGCATAAGTCTGAGATCGCCTTCTCGTTTTCGCGGACCGGGATTTGTTGGGGTTCCGGGAGGGTCTTCCATCCATGGTTGTAATTTTCTTTTCCACGCCGCCTGGGTGTTGGAGTTGCGCGCTGTTCTACCTTTGCCTTTCGAAATCAGGTAGTTTGGTCGATAGGGGCAATCGGTGTTCACAGGGGTCTGTTGGGGCCCACGCCGCGACGACTTGTGAGGTGCTGCACCCACGGCTAGCCTTCCTACTGACAGCGGCAGAGCGTGGACACGAGGTTCGGAGCGCGGCGAACTTTCCAGTTCCGGGTGATGCTAACCGTCCTTTTGCGCGGCCTGGTCCATCGCGTGTGTTGTTATTGTCGGGACCCATGGGTGCGCAATCAAGCTCACAGTGTGTGTTGCCGTGGTTGGGGTATATAGGGGTAGCTGACGGTGGCAGTCATTATTGTCGTTCGCGTGCGGAGACGCTTCGGTGTCGAAGCCGCGCAGGCTGCAAAGGCTTTCAGTACAGATACACATACTTCGAATCGACGTGCAGTTACTCGGGGGTTGTGGGGGTCCGTTGAGGGTCATTAAACCATGTTATTTTCTGTCTTCTTCCTCTCATATCATTGCTTTCGTTACGTCGATTGGCCGACGGTCAGTGCGCGGTGACCCGTTAATGACCGGTTCGCCGTCGATTCGATTTCTACCGAGTTCCGATCCCGGCGGAC